AACAAGAACAAGAACAAGAACAAGAACAAGAACAAGAACAAGAACAACAACAACAACAACAACAACAACAACAACCAACAAACAACAACAACAACAACAACAACAACAACAACAACAACAACGACAACGCGCGCGAACGCCCGTGCGACGGACCGCGGTGCATAACAATGTTCCGCTGCCATCCACGTGAAAAGATGGGCGCTCTTGGAGCGGAAAGCCATCCGCGTTTGGTCAAAGCTGAAGAGGCGGTCTATCTGGGCCAGGTGTGTCAGTCGCAAACCGAAGGCTTTGAAAGGAACAGTCTGCACACCTGGTCGAACCTATTATCCTACTCTCCCTCCGTCATGGAAGTGGATGGGCCTTTTGGAAGACGATGTTCCTCTACCTAAGAAGGGGGGCTGTCCAGCTATCGTGGTTGGGGGAGGGTACCAATTGACCATGGATCACCGGGCCAAAGTTCTGCGCAAGCACGCGAAGAGTCACTCCATCATCGGTCCTCGACCGGAGAGAACCCCCCCAAGATCCCCATCTGGCGACGGTTCTGCCTTTTGTTGGATCTAAAATTTATACAAATTATATACTATACTATGTTCATATTACAAAAAATATATATAATACATATTATATATAGAGATTATATACACATTTCATATTACAAAATATACTATATATTATCTTATATACATATTATATACACATTGGTGTCTGTAGTGGTGCCGAAGAGTAAGTAAGAGATTGAACCCTATTTAACCGAGCATCGAAGGACAGTGCGCTTGGTTGGCAGCGGCGCCAACTCGTCGAAGAACAAAGGTATTAAGAACAAAGGTGGATCTCGGAACATCTTGAATCACATCCATCAGAGTCTTTGGCAAATGTTCCACAAAAAACTCGCACAAACCCACCGGCCCAACTCTTGACCGCTTGTGAAATGTTCGACTGCGCAGCAGGAGACTGCGCAGCTCAATGTGGCTCCCAGCCGTCAGGAAACCAGCTGGGCCAGAAAACTGCAGCCACCCCAGCTGTGAACAGGTGTGCCGCCTCGGGTTCTCAAACAGTGATCAGATGTGACCAGTGCAGACCTGTCAATGCTCCAATCTTAGTTTGACCTCGACAGGATCTTGCTGAGTTGCCATCAGCGACAGGTCTTCAATTGGTATTGCCCATTTGAATGCCCCCCCGAATGCGGCGTTGACAAGATTCCACCTTCACTTCACACCTCTTCGTACATAGACACACCTACCAAGTAGGATCAAGTATAGGGAAACCATCGGACAACTTGGATCGAATACATGGCTGACCAAATGCCCCCTCCCATTGCTGGGGTGGCTGAACTCTTCAAACAACGTGTGCATGCCAATCACGCACGGGAAACCACGGGAACTTTCCTCTGAGATCGCCAACACATCGCGTCTCCAGCCGATGATCGCGACTCGAGAGTCTCTTGAGCTGAGCTCACAGGCTTAAGATGTCATCTGATGTCAATTGCCTGCTTTCCGAAGTTCACGGTCCAAAAACATAAGTCATGGGTTTTAGGTCCAAAAACATCTCGAAAACGGACCGTTCTTACTTCACATACCCTCAGAGAGCCAACTCAAACTGGACTCTGGGGGAAGACGAATTACCCAAACGCTCGTCCCAAAAAACCAGGTCGGAGGAAACATTGCCTGGCTCCGGCATGCTCGGAAAGAGGAAGAACATACGACTGAGTGAGGGTAGTCGCTGATGAGGGTAGTGCATGTTACTCATAACATGTCATAATCCATTACCATGCACCAAGTCAACTGTTTGCTCATCAAACTGCAGGACAGGACCGTAAGTTGCTGCCCATTGTGAATCACCCAGGATGAGGACCAAAAGAAATAGCATTTCCGGCCAGAAGTCACCAGCACAAGCAAATGGGTCTCCAATGGAATACCCTACACTACTTGTGGATCTCCATTGGACACCCCTTTGGGGTTCAGATATGTAATAATATAAATATACTTTGCTTAAAATTTGGAGATATGGAAACCAGTGGCCGACAGAACGACATGTCTGGGCCCATGGGTAGACCAAAACACCAGGTCTTTCGCGCACTATTTATTTGCTACTAGTAGCACGAAGATACTAGTAGCCAGGGATGCGAGGTTGGGGGGCGCCTTTTCGGGATGGGGATGTTTGTTCGTCCTCGATTGAAAGGTGATCGGCCTAGGTCCGGGATCGGGATCCTCTTCTCACAAAAAACTGGTTCATACAGCAGAACCATTTGAACTTTTGGCAGCCAGTTGATCCAAAGGATGGGGTGCCCAGGCCCCAACATGAGCCTTGGTCATCTTACGCCTGCACTTCGGGTCACTTCTCACGTCTTCGCCAAAAAAAACACGTCACCCTTCCTCCGTTGATTTCCGTTGGTTCTGGTTCTGTGCGGTTCCAGGCCGTGAGGCGAACGTGGGCCAGGCCATCAGAGGTGCGATGGCACGAGTGGCTCTTCAGTTCGGTGGTATACCTAGCACTTCCAACGGGTGCCCTGTCTGGAGACCTGTAAGTAGGGGAGGGTAGTCTTTTGGACACCCATCCTGGTATTTATTTATATATGGACCCCCTTTTTATAATATCTTTGTGGTGCCAGTGCCATCCACTTTGCTGCAGTTAAGCTTAAGGAGGTAGCTATAAGTAGTACCCCAAAGCTACTACCGATCGGATGCAGGCTGGGGAAGAGGAGCTTGATGATCTTGTTCTTTCCTTTTAAAGGGACACTTGAGTCTGACAAGAACAAACCATTTTGGACGAGAGTAGGACAAACACGTCGCCGATCAAGATGAATTTACACGAACTCTGCCTGAGTCGCGATCAGCACGGAGTTGAAGTGTCTCTGTTAGAATAAATTTGAAGTTGACCACATGGCAGGTCTAAAGGAATGAGCCAGTTTGAAAGAGCTGCGTGGAACTGGACTGAGATTGTTGGGCTGGTTGGATTTCGGATGAATTCTTTATTATCATTCATCGCAGAAAAAACACTCTCCGTTCGCAACACCATCGCTCCACCGGCGAATATGTCCGGGCCTTCGATGGACCGATCTCCAGTGGGGTCACTGCATAAACCAATTCTTAATTTCGCTGGATTTACTGGATTGTTGACATGTTGGACAAAAAAAGGAATGCTCTTCAAGCTATTTGGTCTTCCACTGCCTAAGGCATAGCAACTACATGTTGCCTCCATCTAGTGCATCTATTGTCCATTCTAGAGTAGATATATATATATACTGAATATAATATGGAGGATCCAACAACTAATTAACAGGAAACTGGTACTGCTATCTACTCCAGGAAGGTTGAAGTCTGGATTGAATCGCCATTCCCACACCCAGCAAAAAAACATTCTTCCACCGTGTGGTGGTTTTGATGTGTTTCGTTTTGATGTGTTTCGGTGAGTGATCTTCTCTGGTCATGAATCTCAGGGATTAATAAACTAGCTAGAACTAGCTATATTATATATATACGGCTATGGGTCAAAACACCGGGAGACTTGGTTACCCACAGAATGAACTACGGAGGTCAACCGTCTCGGTTTTGCACACCGTTTGACCCACTCAGGTGTGGAGCCAATTAATAGGCAAAGGCCTAAGCATTCTCTATGCCAAACTGGGCTTCAGTCCCTGAACCATGATCTACAAAAGTTGGTGGTAGCCCTGAATACAGAACGCCTTCAAGAGGTTCCTTGGGCTTTATTATGCTTTATTTGTTTATGGCATTTCTGCAGAACAGCCATTCTTTACAGCAACTGATTGAAATGGCACGCTGCTGACCATGTGGCGGCAAAGACTGAACAAGAAAACTACATGCGCTTTGATGGCAAGGACAATGAATGCGAGTGGGGGCAACCTCCAAGTCACATCTTTCCTTGCTCGATGTGAGGGTGAAAGCCCTGCCATCAAGGACGAGGCCTACAGTCATTGTAATCATTGTAGGCCAATGTTCGACTTTGGAGCAAAGCACTTCGAAGGTTCTTGACACTTGTGTTCCTCTATACAGATTGAACGTATCAAACATCATCTTCTGTAGCGAACTTACAGCAACCCATGCAAAATTATTGGTTGGAAACATTGGAAACGCCTCTGTTCCAAGAAAACACAATGGAAGCATGTTTTAAGGGTGCTGCACTTCCGGGTGCATCGGTCAAATCAGGACAGCCTGGACCCAGGCTACTTGGATGGCATGGCCCCTAGACCCTCGGATGACACTACAAACAGGTGGTGAACTCCACGTAGGCATCATGATTCCGAGTGTATCTAGATCGATGGCACCACCCGGACGCTGTCCATCAACCCCACTTACTAAGCCCTCTCAGTGTCCATCAACTTTCCGCGTCTTCGATCCTTCGAAGCTTCGATCCTTCGAACAAAGTGCTCGTCTTGCGGATCCTTCGGGAACTAACCCCGATATGCCGAAGACCCTGTCAAGGACGACGGGGCATTGGAGAGAGATGGCCAAACACGGACCTGCGACTGGCGTCGGTGGTGGTCGTGGTCGTCTCTGGGATGTGTTCAATGTATGCGGGTGTTGACACCACACAACCAGGTGTAAACCTGAACATGGATCATGGACCTTTGGAAGACTATGTTCCTCTAAAACCCAGTGGTTTTAGGTTCCATGTTCATCTTCCAGGGTGTAAACCCTAACTTTTTTTTGAAATTTCTCTTGTTTAGGGTCGGCAACGAGATTACACCATTTTGTGATACAGCCAAAAAGGGATTTGCCGAGTTTGATTGATAATTTTGGGGAGATATTTCACCCGCTACTGCACAAATCTGTCTGTGGTTTCTCCAAGTTTTGGGATGATTAGAGGATGTCATGAGAATGGTCTGGGGATGTTTCAGAGACTTTCGGAGAACAAATTGGTTGGAGATTTGGGGATCTTGCATAGAGATTGGACCCAAAACTACACCCAGTCCACAGATCTATCGCGCCTTCAGCCTTTCTGGTGCAAACCCGTGCGGTTGTGAGTTTGAAAGGCATGAAAACGGTACCCCCTCAAAGTACAAATAGAGATTGTACAACATGGCAGAATCCAAAGGCTTGTGACCCATCTCAAAAACAGCCACTTTGCAGGGCACAGGCACCATTTGGTCTCTGCATGCAATGCAGGTATGAGATTGCAAGTATCTGCAGGTGCATCCTCTTTGACGCCTGACCCCTTCCCAGAAATATCGCCTTCGCACTGTCACACCGCAGGGGGCAAAGCACCTGCAGTGCCAATAGGAGGTAAATCATGGGCCATGCGAGAGATGTAAGTCTGACAATGATCATTCAAGCATCTTTTTTGGATCCTCTATATACTGTATGTGTACACTCTCGGTGACAACCCTCTTGGCACCCACCCAGCTCACATTCCCACATTCGATCGCATTCTCACAAGGTCAGTGGATCCCTAAGGTGTTTGATGACCTCCACCACATAACCATGGCTATGTGGCTATGTGTTTCTGACCCAGAATTTTGTATCTACAAGTATATATAAACAAATCATACGCAATATATTATATATATAGCCATTAAATCTAACATACTTGGTGGAGTATGGGTATGGAGTTTGGGGTCCATCCTTCTGGTTGGCTGCTACGTTTTGTTCAACGGCAAATCAAGCAAGACGAACACACGCACACACAGACATGCAACATGACATTTCAACATCATCGACATCAACTCTGACAAGACATCTATCAACTATACTATACTATCGACTATATACAGATGGAAACATATCAAGAGGACAACTTAAACATAAATAACATAACATAGACACGACTAAGAAATACAACAGCATCAACAAAAACAACATTGTTTTAGACTATCATGTTGATAGTTGATATTCTGTAGATACCCACCAACAACAACATCAACGATTTCTTCTTCAACATCATCAACAACAACATCAACATCAACAACAGTTTTGTCTTCTTCTACATCAACAACAACAACATCAACATCAATGGTTTCTTCTTCGACATCAGCAACAACAACAGCAGCAATTACAACAACATCAACATCAACATCAACATCAACATCAACATCACCACCACCACCACCACCACCACCACCACCACCACCACCACCAACAACAACAACAACAACAACAACAACCACAACCACAACCACAACCACAACCACAACGACAACGACAACGACAACGACAACAACAACAACACCCACAGCCACAGCATGCCACAGCCACAGCCACAGCAACAACAACACTACTATGCTGGGCTGGGCACCAGCCATTGCCCCCCTTTTAAGGGGGTTCAGGCCAGCCTCGCCTGCTCACGGCGGTGGTGTGCTGCTGCTTGAAGGCTCACGGTCTCAACCTGACGGTCTCCATCGGGTGGCAGGCAGTTCGAGTCATGTAGCTGGGACCCATGTCACTAACGTCGTAGCTGCTTGCACGCTGCGCACGTTTTTTGTAGGGGAGCATGTCACTGTCCTAATAGCAGGGTCCAGGTGGACAGCAGGGATACCTGGGAGTTGGGACAGCTAGCTCTTTTTCTGTGCACTGTGCGCAGGAAGCTGCTAGGGTGGCGCCGAAAGAGCTCTCCCGCACGACATCCCAAATGCGAATAGCCGGAGGGAAGCAATGGGGGGCAAGCCCAATCTGTTTACCTTAAAGCGTCCAAAACAAAGTAGAAACGCTAGGACTCCAGCTTAGTTGAGGAACACGAAATGCTGACTTGGAGATTGCAGCAGTATCAGATTCACACTCTTATTCACATATCTTCAACCCACTTCCTGGCAACCAAGATCTCCACCCAGCTCTCCAGGTGCGAGCTCTCGGTTCCCTTCTGCTTCTGTACTCTTGTTTGCAGAAGTAGAAGTCTTCAACTTGAGATAAATCAGGAGGAAACCAATACAGTGCGATGTGTTTTGACTTGCAAGTTATGCCCAAATCATCAAGCGGGAGAGATGCTAGGAGTTTAGGGGAGCCCCCCGCTTATTGGGAGAAGCGGTTGCAAGGTTGTACCTATGTCGAGTTTCAGAAGGGTCGCTAGGTGTAGCCAGAATGTTTTGATATGTTTTGATTGTGGGACTGTTTTTGTACTTCCAGCCTGCGGTCAAAATGTGTGTTTGATCTTCCTGCTGTGTTCGTTTTGGGGAGCCCCAAACTCCTGGTTCTCCTGTTGACACCTACCATTCCAGTCTTGGATATCATCCAGATCACTTCGACATCATGGCAGTGCCCATCCCATCCGCAGTTCGTCCGATTGGAGTCTGGAGTCTCCTGGCCCATCCCTCCAGGCAGTTTCGGTGGAAGAAGTGGCTGCAACGAGGCTGGGTCACCTGACAGGCACCACGGATCCGGCGGCGAGCGGCGAGCAGCGAGCGGCGAGGGTTGGGGCGGTTGGGTTGGGGCGCCCTAGGCTTGAGGCTCTTTTGAGAGAAAGCTACGAGGTTTTTGGAGGTGAAAGAAGGACGAGGATCACATGCAAAATCATGCAAATCCCCAAGTGAAAGATTGCTGCCACCATCGACCTGGAAAGAATCCCTCCAGTCCGCGAGGTACGACATGGGTACACCAGGCCAATCTGGCTCGAGAATCTTGGAACCTCCACCGTTGTGGATCGTCGAGCACCCTTGGAACAGGCGATCCTTTGAGAAAAGCTCAACAAACACCTTTAAACAGTACATTGTCTCTGTCTTGACATCGATGTACTTTTCGGTGGACCGAAACCAGACATCACCAAGACGCTCTTTGACTCAACGTCGTCTTCTCACACGAGCTCCGGTCCGACCGGTCCTCTGTGGATATGCGGCGATCCACCGGATGGGCGCCCAAGCGCACGCCCCGCGCCCCGTCCGGCCTCTTCATCTTGAGTGAAACTGTCCAAACCTAGGCAGTATTGTCTTGGAGGTCCGGCGGGTTTGGACGCCCAGTATTGTAGCAAAGATTCTGACATGTTCTGAAACTTCTGGACCTATGATTCTACTGATGAGTTACCTCGTGGTTAAAATTTGAGAATGTCCTTGCGCCCAAGTCGGATTGTGAGAAAGGCGAGAAAAGGCTTCTCGGTGTGGCACCGGTTTTCTTCGCGAGCGACCGGTTTTTCGATGATCGAGCTTAGCTGATATGGATGGACCAATTTGATCGGGCAAAGAGTGACTCCCAGTGTAAACATCTCGCGATACTCCAACCTGAATCTTGCGGAAAAGAAGCGCTGTCAGCTATGTGTTACTTCCTACTGCCAGTTCAACCACGACCAGAACCACAAACGACATGTAACAGTCATCAACATCAAGGATCAACACCCATCAACCGGCTCACAGTCGCGGTCTCGACCCATCGACCCTGTTTCGACCCATCGACCGGTCACCTGGCATGACTGGGCCTCCGGGCAAATTGGGCATTGGACCTGCCGGTGCGGTGTGGATGGGACCGGAGCTCGACCGTGCGGGGCCACGAACATCCGGTCCGTTGGTCCGTTGGTCCTGTGGCACGTTGGTACAGGAAGTTCACGCTGTCAGCAGAGCATTTGGGACGTGTCAAGGTTTCTCCGTCGAGGTGATTGGGAGCTATGAAGCTTGATCTATCCAGGGCCTGGAGAGGCTGGGGGTCGTGCAAGTCGAATGGAATTGACCAAGAAGTGACTTGGCAATTGCCATCAAACAATCATCATTGTCGGAAGGAGCAACAATTTAGCACCACCCAACCATTTTGGATGTGTGTTTTTCTTGCAAGACACAATGACACAATGACCACATGCTAGCTGCTAGTGGGGGAATCCATTGGGTGGTTGAGCCCGTTAGACCAAAAAGGTCGAGTTCCGAGCACTTCTGGCACACCCATTTGCTGCAACTCTGCCTCTTCCTTGTTGGACGAAACATAGAATTCAGGTTCGGTCCATCCTATTACCAGTAACACTGGATCTTTTTCCGCTTTGCAACTTAATGGAGTAGCAATTAAAGGCCTTAGTTTGTAAGAATTGCTTACTGACTGCTACAAATAATAGGACAAACCCAAAATTCAGCATTACAAACCGAATCAATTCGAACCTCCACCCAGGTTTATAGTCACTATTCTTCTCACTGTTGTTATAGATTTCGTATGAAAAAAGAACATACAATATCATACAATAAACAAATCCTTCGTGAAGGCTATGACAGACCAATCACCTCGTGCAGCTCAAGATCCTGTCGGGTCTCTCCTCTTCCTCCCGCAGTCAACACCGACGCAGTCAACACGCCTCTTCAACAGGCTGACCTTCCTGGCTGGGGGCGATGCTTCTCGAAGCCCCGCCCTGTCTTGTTCTCCCCGACCACACAACGGCACTTGGGATCCACGGTTGGTACTCCACAACCTCCCTGCACCAATGCCAGTGAGTCCCATTGGTCGCCTCTGGGATGTTTGTTTTGTGGGCCATACGGTCGAAGGATGCGCATCTGCAAAGCACGCACCGCGCAGCGCAGCGGTCGAGGCAGAGGTTTCGAGGCCCTTCGTTTCAAGGCGAGGGAAGCTGCCAAGCACGGCGACCGGTACGAGAATCTTTGGAGCCCCCAACCCAGACGCTCCATGTATGCCATTTATGCCTACATTGACTCCTGAAACCACCCCAATGTAGGCAAATATGCCAGTCCCATGGAGTGTCTGGGCAATACACCATGGAACACACCACGGACCATGGACAACGATGGAACCTCTGGGACAAAATCACAAACAAGTTCCTCAAACGTCACTCGACCTGAGGGCCTGTGTTCTCCAGGATTGGAACCCTCGCCCTGGATATGGCCAAAAGCTTATCATCTCAGTGGTCATGTTCAGGCCCCACAGATTCTGAGAACATTGCATTTCCGGTTGGTGGTTTCAACTCAAGAAAAATTAGAGTCAGTGGGATCCACCATCTCAAGGTAGAAAAACAAAAAAAATATCTGAAACCAACATCCAAATATGTGTTGGTGGTGCTGTTGCTGTTGCTGTTGCTGTTGTTATTGTTACCATGGAGACATTACCGGAGAAGGCTCCACCGGAGCGGACGCGGACCGTGCTCCGCAGTGAGAGCTGAGGCTGCACCGAAAGCACCGAAGACGTTGGGGGATCCGGACGGAAGGAATTCACTTAACAGTTAACAGGGTCAAACAGGCTGAAGCCATGTTGCTGACTGAACCCATTAGAAACAAACAAAGGGAGACACGAAACGAAGAAAGGAACGATCAGATTCAGGAAGTCAGAGGTGTGTATGTGTGCTCATCCCCTGATTGAAATAATAATGGAAGTGGCTGGCCCTTGGAGGAACCGGTTCCTCTGCAAACAAATAGTTTTCCACTTCCACGTTTTCAAAGAGTTTAGATTGAATACGATAGAATACGATTATATAATCTGATTGAAGATCATCTGCAACTCGGTAAAAAGACGTTTCCAACAAAAAGAGAAATCCTAAAGTCCCGTTGACAATGCTCGAAACCCTCCCCGGTGCATCACTGATTGGATGAACCCAAGCTTGGGATTCGATCACTATATGCGATCCTATATTTTGGCACATCGTTGAAGTCATTGAACTGCAACGCTTCTTGTTGAACTATACACCTATATAGGTCACCACTTCAGTGGCCTCAAAGAGGCCTGTAAACACCGCCCAACCCCCCTGCAATGTCCTCATCCTCCTGCCCAGGCAGGGCCAAGCTTTGACTTGCATCAAACCTGGCTGGTGAGCCATGGTGACGGATCTTCATCAAAGCTGCTCCCCAAAGGCTCCCAAATGCATTAAACAATCATGAGACAAAGCAAACAAACAAACAGCAAACATATATAAACAAAGCTCGCTTCACTGGGGACGTCGATTTCAGGAGAACTGACAGTGTGTGCAGTTGGCCGTATCTGTAAAACGGTGTCATCATGACGTTTCTCCCCAACAACCACAGTAAAATTGGAGGTGATGTCCAAAACAAAATGTGCACAACCTGACGTCCGAGAGACAAAAAGAGAGAGAGAGAGAGGGGGGGGGAAAGAAAGAAAGAGAGAAAGGTACATTTCAAGAGATATAAAGAGATAAAGAAAAACATTGAAAAAACAACAAAATAAAGACAAACAGAAAAACATAAAGAACGACAGAAAGAAAAACATAAATAAGGAAATAAAAACAGCAAAAACAGGAAATAAATAAACACAAACATAACAAAATAAACCAAAAGAAAGAAATAAAGCAAGCAAGCAAGTACTCCCATGCAGATGTTCATTGCGTCCACCCGGACAGAAGAGCACTCATATTCTGGAATTGGCACTCACCAAGTTCGTCAAGGTTTGACACACTTGCTCATGGTCAAAAAGAACAACCAACCAGGTCCACAGGTGCATCAGCCAGGTACAAAGCCGAGACATGGAAGTTACCAAAGACATCCAAAGACCAAAGGACACCAAAGGTATCGCTCCTGACCAAGCAGGTGTGTCTCCAAGCAGCACCAAGATTACCAAGACCTAGGACATAGGCAATGCGGCACGCGAGCTGCAGTAGTCTCCGAAGAAAGGCTACGCATTGTATTGGAACCTGTCTCTCTGTGGCTCCATGTGGAGACATGGTGCGGCACACTCTCCATGTGGAGCTCGTACTCTCCGGAACCTGTCGACCTTAGAGTCACTTCTCAACGACGAGCTGCTCCTTGTGGCGGACCGGCGCAGTCCCCCCCCTCCCGAGCCGGTGGAACGTCACTCGCTCGCTCGTCCCGGGCCGGGTGGACTCGGGGCGGGTCAGAGAAGCTTCCGAAAGGTTCGGGACGTGTGAAGCGTCTGGTCGACGCGGTGCGTTCTGGCGGTCCTGGTGGTCCGAAGCTGGGCGAAACGCTCGGCTCTCAGACGAAGCTCTGTGGTGCGGCTCGGTGCTCCGATGTTTGTTCCGCCGACCATGACCCGTCCATAGATCTGCTGGATCTGCTTGACTATAGCAGGAACTTAATCAAGAAACCCTGGTATGAATATGGAATCAATCACGGACGACTTGGAGCTATCTAAGAACCTGCAACGTGAACAGTCAAATGCACATTGGGGATCAAAGGCCGACACCAAACCTATGACTTGAACAAACATTAATGCTTGAAGGGGGGGAATGGCCCAATACTGCCAACTGTTATACGAATTCCATGTTTCCAGTGATTTCACCACCCTCTCGGTTCCGTCCCTAGATTCCGGTTTTTGGCATGTGGTACAAGCGCTGGTCTTCACAACAAGACATGCGAAATCGACCCCTCGTCCCACGCGTATCACGACCGACCCAGCGAAAAAGGGCGAACGACCTGTAGTTGATGAGGTGCAACAAGAAGTGCCACTCGATCTCTGCGGCCAGCTGCTTCTGCAACGGTCGCGCGCGTCGACCGTGGCGGTACGAGTCACGAGCAGAACCAATGCGGCTTGGGATCGGAGCCGCGAGCAGTCGCGGTTTTTGGGGATCTGCCCGTGCTTGGCTACATATTCAAAGACTTTCAGCTGGCTCAAAGGCTCAAAGCCGAAAAAATGAGCTTTCACTGTCCTATAGGCCGCATCCAGTGAACTACTGTGTAGTGCATGTAGGATGTAGGGATTGTAGAGCCAGCAAGTCATATCTAAGGAATCTAAGTCGTATCTAGCTAAATGCTTGTAGCTGGAAGGGTCTTAAACTTAAACATTAGAAACTCGCAAACACTAGGTCCTTCTAGGTCTTAGCCCAAAATGTGTAGGTCTCCGAAAACTACTCTTCGGAAATTCCCTCTCCCTTCTGCTTTTTGCATCTCAAACCGCCAATTGGGTCACAAAGGTCAATGTCAACCGCTTCAAGAATCGACACAAGAACAGGTTCGGTCATATCCGCAGAAGGCCCGGCCCCTTTCCTCTTCACAGGCCCCAACAAGTACAGTATGTATAAGCAACCGCCGGTTGGTTGCGTCGGCGGCTTGCCATGGTCTGAACGAACGGTGCGTCCGTGCGTCCGTGCCCAATCCGTCCCGCCTGGCTGCTTTCCTCGATGCCGATCTGCGGAGCCCTCAGAGAGATCACACGGTGCAGTGCCAAATGGGGGTCCATGCGCCGTTTTGCGCAGGTCATCTGGTCAGCCTTCCAACCGGTCCGGGTCGGGGTCAACGGCAACGACCACCACGGAGCTGCGGGCACCATCCCATACTGGCACCAATATTTGACAAGTCCTCCATACACCAAAAGTAACATTTCAAAAGTAGAATGAGACTGATCCACAGATTAAAGTTAAATTGATATGTCTGGCACAGATTCATAGCTAAGCCCACTGAAGTCAAAAATATATGATATACAATGACACACAGGTTTGTTCATACAACTTTGTCAAAAAATACACCAACAACCCGTGAACCCGGACAAAAACACACACACATTGAAAAACACAATATTGTGAGTTCCAAATCGCCCTCTCATTTTTACTTGACCTCACCTCACCAATTATCAGTACCTCTCTTCCAGCTCATCTTTTCTCGGCCCAGGCACTCAATCCCCAGGCGAAGAGCTTGGCGACCGCGCATGGCCTGGCCCGCCAGGGAAGACTCGGAAAACTTCGACGTTCCGGATTTCCAGGGGTTGATCCGCCCCTTTTCAGACCATCTATGAAGGAATGTTTGGAGGGGTACATGAACTATCCCCTGGTCCACTCGGAAAAGAACACCACCTTCAAAGGAGTCTCCAATGGAATACCCTGCAGTCAGTACACCACTTGTGGATCTCCATCGTTCACCCCTTTCAAGGTCCAGGAACCTACATTGACACTTGAAACCACCCCCCAACTAATCAGCAAATTGTTCATCATGTCGACTCCGGACATCATCTACTCATCTGGGGATCCATGGCACGTTGGAGTTGTAGATGATGAACTATGGAACTCGATGTTGCTTTGGATGTAGCACACGTTTCATGAAGCTTTGTCCAAACGTCTGCCATCCGAAACGTCAAGACGTATCTCGACGTAAAACAATCAAAGCTTCGACATCAGCATGCACACGACCGCTACACTCCCTGGAGAATCACAATGGATGGCATGGGCCCGATGTCGGATGACCAGTTTCCTCTATGACCAGGTGGTGGTGCCATCAGGGAGTGAACTTCAATCCACCGCATAGCCTCCGTACCTCACCGTACCTCACCATACCTGATGATTCCAAAAAATGTAATGATATTCATAACCATTTCCAGCTGTTGAGGGTTTCCCTGTTAGTGGTTCCTCACAGGCCGCCCCAACCAAGCGCCCCCGACCAAGCAGCAGCATAGGAGATCACCAGCTGCTAAAAGAACGAGCAACAGGACCCTGGGCCGGCGCAAGACTCAGAAACAAATCATCTTGGAAGGTTAACATCATTGGATAACCCAAACACTCCATATATGCCTACATTGGGGTGGTTTGGGGGGGTCAATGTAGGTATATAATACATGGAGTGTCTGGATAATAGAAAGGATTAGAGAGGTGCTTATACCAGGTGGCTCTTGGAGGGTAGGGCACAGAACTCTCGCCTGGGGCGTACGTAACAACCACCCTTGTGTGGAACTTTTCTCAGGAAAACAGTGGACAGGACTTGTGACACTCTGCCTTTGACCGTTGCACGGTTCCGAGCTAATCCGAGCTATATATTTTTATATATAATGCAGGCTGATCAAACTGCCTGCTCTTGTAAGTGGTGAGATGAATCCACGAACATCTCGTGGATGACTTGACCCCAAAACACCTCTGACCAGGCTAACTTAAGGCTCCATAGCAAACGCCGGCCACAAGCCGCAACGGGGGAGATACGACCAGCCAAGGCCACGTGAAGTAGAGTCTAGCAGCTAGCAAATAATGGCCATCTGCGAGTAATTCAATATGTAAGTCAATATCGCGGCGACCCAGTTTCTTCACGTTCGCAGCCAGCGTGCAGCGTTCAGCCGGCCATGTCAAGACGCCGCCGCCTCAAGACGGCCGAGAAGAGGATCCAAGATCGCGATGACTTAGAGCCCCAAAGACATAGCTGTCGCCTTCTCGTGGCACGTGGTTCTTCTTCCAGCCACGAGGAGCGTGGCGGCGTGCGCAAGAAGGTTCGTGTTCGTGTTCGCGGATGTTCGTCCGCGGCAAAGCGGTAGGGACAGGGATAGCTTGCTCAAGGCTACAAGCGGCTACAAGGCCATTGAGCTGGTGCAATCACACCATGTCATGGAGACAACAGGAAGGCCAATGGAAGAAGGAAAGCAAAGGCAAAGGGGCAAGAGCAGGATGCAGCTTCAGCGCATAAGCTCGGGCATTGACACAACGAGCGTCCACGATTCCTTCGAAAGAACTCCCGAGTTGTTACCCTAGAGCACCTCCTCAGAGAGTATTTGGACCCTCCAAACCCACCTAACTACCTCAGAAGCTACTTGGAGCCTTAGGGATCGATAAGAAAAAAAGCTGTGCACCACCCCCAGCCCCACGAAGCTTGGGTACATCGCAGTGGAATCCATGCCATCGATGCTGACAGTCATATAGGCCTGTCTGGTAGGCCCAATAGTTTTGAAGATGTTCAGCCAACATCTCGGACTGTTGCGACTCTTGCATTCAAGTGATTGCAAAGTTCTCGTGGTGCAAGCAGGTGGCGCAGGCCGCGCAGGTGATGACCATGGTCCAAACAGCAAAAATGGTAATTCAACTGCCAAAAGCGCTTGAAGGAGACCCGAACATGAAAACATCACGCTCGCATGGTTTCCCAGTGCTCTCTCATGATCCCCGGAGGGAGTGCCTTTATTTCTCTTTTGGCCTGCGGCCTTTGGACATGACACTGCCTGCCTCGCCAGATTCCCGCATCCTGTGAGGCAAGCATCTTCCAAAAGCTGTCAGCAAACCGCAGCAACATCCGGAGCAACAGTAAACGCGACAGGTCTGGGGGCCGCTTTTTCGTGGGGCGTTTCCTGCCAGCTTGAGACCAACAGAGGTTGAAGGACCCTATAGGCTATCCCATATAGGTACCCCTGTAGTGTCCCATAAGGTCACTTAACCTCTGTTGGGAGGCCTTGAAATGAATTCAACGACCTTGCGCCGGTCGTGGGTCGTGCTGGAGGAGGAAGTGTCCGGAAGTGCCTTGCAGGAGCTGTGCCGCAAATCTGTTACTAGTAGAGATGCACTTGTTACTATTGATTGTACATACTATTTAGTAGTGATGCATTTGTTACTGATAGCATCTAATAGCGATGCTCCTTGCTGTGCGGAGCTGCTTTCGCTCGAAAGATTCAGCGTTCAAATCTGTGAAAGCCGGTGCCGAAAATCACCGACCCATACGGGCGTCCAGGACACGGACCAAACGTGTCAACTCCAAGAAATGCCAACAACAAACAACAACAACAAACAACACCTAAATCTACACCTACACACACATAGTCTGTGTGTTGGGGCTAGTTTTGATCCATAGGAGGCAACACGCATCACAACGGCCACCGAGCTTCGATCAGAACGACCCCGCCTATAAGCTTCGATCTGCTTCATCAGGGACTGCACGCGCGGAGAACCCGAGTTCCGTCTTCGTCCGATGCGCGAGGAGCCCGATGCGGTGATGGACACATGGATGGACACATGGCCGGTGATGGACCTTCGTTTCAAAGCTGAAAAAGGCGGAGAAGATGGAATTCGCTGTACCCAGACACTCCATGGGACTGCCATATATGCCGATCAGTTGGGGTGGTTTGAGGGGTCAATGGGGCGGCATATATGGCATTATATGGCATACATGGAGTGTCTGGGGTATCACATACTAGAAATCCTCTCCCGGGGTGCACGGGGCGAACAACATCTCTCCTCATGGGCGATTTCCTTTTCCAGAAAATCACCATCTGGACATGGACCTACTTGTATTTGCTCTTTGGGACAGGCCCAACAAAGGATGTAATATAAGTACAAACACGGCACTGGAGGGTCCCTTCAAAAACGGCTTTCTCTACAAACAACCAGTCTCCCTACTTCCATGATTTGGAGAAGGACCTCACAGTGAGTCTAGTGCATTGCTTGGGATTGATCGGCATATGTATCATTGATCGACCCTAAGTTGTCGGAGAGAGATCAAATCAGTCTCATCCCGTCAAACAGTGATTTTGCCATACGACTTAAATCAAAGTGTAATTTAGATTCAAATGAATGACTATAGCCGCGTAAGAGATGTTGTGCTTCGATGTGAGAAAGTGCACTCAACACTAGCACTAAAAAAACGACGCGGGGCGATAGGGTCTTCGCAGCGTTTTGGTTGCCTCGAATAGGGTCATGGCAGCAATGCCGCTGCCAGTGAGGACACCTGCTACCTCGGGTGCGGACGTGAGATGAGCCGGTTCAGGTCGGTCGGAGCTGGAGCTCCCCCCCATTCGGGAGCTCTGAGAGGTCGAGTCTTCAACGCAAAGCCGAAAACAGGAGCCTCATGGAGTGTCTGTTGAGGGAGGGAGCTGGAAGAGGAGCGAAGCCAAACAAAGCCACGTCAAGGATCCGAGGGACTGATTCCTCAAAATCCAATAGTTGTGAGCCACCTCCCCCCCAACTCCTGGTTCTACTCCTGGTTCTGCATGTCACTGGAAACAACATTAAATACGTACTTTGTTCGGAAGCAACGGTGAAGCAACGGTGGTTTGGGGTTTAATGCACTGCACATGTCCGTTCGTCCCATTCAAAGAATCCCAGTTAGTAACCCCACTTCAGATGTCCTCTCCTCATGCAAAGGATATCCTTATCCCGCTTATCCAACTCATGGGTTCAGGATGGTTCAGGGCACAGTATGCTGTGAAGACATCAGATCGGATGTTCGGAACGGGTGCGTAGCTCCAACACTGTGAGACCAACCGACCGTGGACAGACCGTATCGGCCGGCGGTATCCGACCTTCTGGGTTCGTCTTAGACCAGTCTACCCAGCCATGGTCAGGAGGTCTCCCCATGTGTCGATCTGTCAAGGCCACCCCTGCGGTGCTGTTCCAAGCAAGAGCGGAAGGGTCTCCAGATGTCTCCGCTGTCAGAGATGAGAATCTATAGAGAATCCTCAAACACCTCTGGGAATCGTTTCACCTGTAGGAACAATAATGCTACTTAGTAGGTCTTTGAAGCTACTAGGAACAAGGATGCTAGGAAAGGTCTTTGATACTCTCTGAATATTTATGACCTGAAGGATCGAAAACCAAGGCCATGTTTTCACAGTTGGAGAATCCTCCAAATCCTCCGCGCAATTGGTCGGCACGCCATCTTCTCCACCGGACACCGCCAAGCGACGCCCCACAAGGTGTGCAGCTCATGCAGCTGCCGCCATCTTTCCAACTGACGGAGATGTTTGCGGGCGGTTGGCCGTTCGCATGGATTGTGCACATTGAACACCTTTGGATACTACCCAAAGGCTCCAGAAAGGACCCAACCCGTTTGAGGTCCTGGACCTGACCCTCACAACTATAGGTTTTTGGACCCAAGAAACACATGTGTAGCAGTTGGTTCGGGTCATGAGTCATGAGATGTCATGAGCCGAACTTGAGTCATGAGCTACTCAAGTGACTCAGTTCTTTCATGTTCTTTCCCCCATGAAACCTTTGATCACGTTCTTTGGACCCCCCGGGATGCCCTTTCTTTTGCGCCTCGAAGGCGGAATCCGTGCGTGGATCTCTCCTGCGAGGGAAACGCACGCAGGTGTTGAAACAACGGCAGGGGGGATGGGCCGCGCTAGGTCGTGCACGAACCGTGCTGCACCGCTGCACCGCAAACATCCGAGGCCACCATGGCGCCGTGCCCCTGAAAAAAGGACACTTAGCTAGTGATGCTCGTGTACGTTGACTCAATCAATCCATTTGCTTGATGCCTTTTTCTCGGGGCCGGATTGCAGGGCCAAGCCGGGGGTGATGCCCGCGCCAAGGACTTGCTTTTCCTGGTGAGAAACTGATTTTGCCTGAGGAAAGCAAACTGTCAGGGGGGAACGTTCAAGCTGCAAAGGGCTTCTTACGGTATGTATGTTTCTATGTAGTGTAATATACGTTTCCGTTCTCGAACCCATAAATTCGTGGAACTGGATGGCCCCCCTGGAAGACAAGTTTCCTCTACAAACGGCAGGTTTTCCACTTCCATGTTATAAGTTCCAGGGTGAGAGTCACCGCCGTTCAAACCGTTTTTTCCTCCAGTGCATCACGCTAGTACTGCGCTCCTGCTCTCCGCAGTGCCGAAGCGTGTTCGGCACCGCGAGATCCAGTCGTGGGGACACATTCGATGACACATGTGGGTGCTGAGGTTTGTAATTCAATGGGGAGGCCCCGAACCAATGGATTTTGGTCTAGAGTCTATAGAGTCTATTCTATTCCCCTCCTCCCTGGAGGTCTTTGGGAGGTCTTCCTATTTAAACAGTTTTGAAGAATAGAGATACACCCGATCGCCCATGGCTGGGTATAGACTGCTCTATCTTCCGAACCTTCTATAGGGTCTCCACCTGGGCGATGCTGCTTCCGGGTGGCCGAACGGCCGAACCTTCCAGTGCGAATTGCCATTCGGCTGTCTGACCGTCCGCTTCGTGTCCTGGGTTTCCAAGCAGAATTCTGCAGAGGAGTTGGATGAGTTGGGATTCTGCAGATTCTGGAAACGTCTGTTGCAGCCGTATGTTGCTTTCTTGTGATGGCTGGATGATGGATGGCCGATCTCTTCGCTCGTGAGGTCGGTCCTTTCTCCACCAGAAGTTGTTGGGGTGGATGGATTAAGAGATGACAGCTGCATGTTTCAAAACCCAAAACGCCCCTTCCAAACCATCCATTCATTTTGGGAGGATAAAAAGGTGATTGACATCGCACTCGTTGGATCACCATCAGTCCTCCAGCCAAGAAGGAACATCCAGCAAACCAGCATCAGCTTGCCTGCGGCGGGAGCGGGAAAAGGTGTGGTACTGTAACTTGGTGGTTCAAGATTCTAGCTGCTAGCTGTCCTTCTCACTTCCCCAGCTTTGCCAGGTCATACAAGTTGACTTTTTCCACTGTTAAGTCGAACAAATTCCCAAGAGGATATATATATGACTTGAAACCCACAAGATCCAACTTGGTGTTGTTCAGAAATCGAAAACCACAAAATAATTCCAACTGAGCCAGGGTCTTGGAAGCGCACTCTGTGTTTCAGCTCTAGAGTGCCATGCGATCTCTGATCTCTTTGGGTCTTTTCGTTCGAAGGTCCCCCCCAGTCGGGGCACATCAGGCTGGTCTCCCTCATCACCGTCCTCACCCGATAGCCCTTCGGAAAGGACCGGTGGATGGCCGTGAGCGACGAAAAAACGCCCTCCGAAGGATGAATTACGATTTGCTAAGTGCACCTATAGGGGATAACGAATTGATGGCATGAGGAGGGAGCCTATGATATGCCATCATATGCCATCCACTCGTTAGCCCCTATAATTGCCAAAATTTAAAAATCAGGAGCCAAAATGAATCCGGAATTGTGGGGCTGCTTCTTGAAAGCATCCCAGCATTCTCCTCTTCGCAAGATGTTGCCGGATCACACCGGAACTCCTCGTTCGGTCACTCCGTCAAACCTGTGACTCTGACCAAGCTATGGGTATCCGCCGACCCCGGTCGAAGAAGGGGG